TTATATTGAAAATATTAAAACCTATTTATAATTATTGGGCACATTCATCTCGTCTGCCCGTGATCGCGGTTTCTATAATGGAACTGAATCATCGGGATTACGTAGTTATATAATAATAAAAAATCCGAAAAAAATAGTTTCATTTAAATGTATATACATATATATAAAATATACAAGAATTTCTTAGCTATCAACTGAAATTCTATCCTTAAAGTGACTTTGGATTGGGCTATAATGATGGACACTTATGTAAAACAATAAAAAATCGCCGAGGACTCCAGACTAGAAACATTTATGTATTCACGAATTTTAAATCGCGTAGTGATGATTACGGTTCCTTGGCAAACAAACATTCCCAAACACCATACCATCAATATCAACAAATATTACGAGCTCACTAACGAACTCACTCGAAATAGGTTCGTCGTGCATTTGTTCGCGGTAGAGGTGGGAGCGAGAGGTGTAACAGTTAAATCTCTCTAAAACCTACTAGAAGACTTGGGCTTGTCCAGAACTAGCATTAATTCGTTCTTGGAACGTACGTCGAAGGCAAAGTCTTTTCAAATTTGGTTAGGTAGGGAGAGGAACTTGGACAGTGGAGGTGAGCGTATAACGCGCGTTAGATAGGGGTCCCTTAAACCTATACTTGGGTCGCACATCCCAGTCACTGTTGAAGCTACTCTCCCTGTAACAATGGACCTGGCACCCACGCGGTGAATACATTGAATGCTGAGAGGTTTTGTCTCATTTATGAAGGATTTTTATTGTTTCAACATTTCAAATATTTTCTTCTTTATTATACAGTTAATAAAACCTTTAGACTTTTAACTTGATCGTATAACTATTAACTTCACGACATTTGACTTTTGACTGTAGTTAGACAATATGTTTTAACTCACCATATACGAATCGTTAATTCAGTACCGAAAGCCATTCAAATTAATTGTTACACTTAATACAAAACATCCGTATATCAATAACAATAAACGTTAAACTTTTATTAAGTATAAAGTTTTATTAAAGAAAGTATAACATAACGTGAGTTACGTGGAAAAGAATTAAAATTTATTATTATTAATTATAACCGGATGCAACTAACGAGAATAATATTTACGTAATATGGGGAAATTAGGAGAAAAAAACATTACCTACTGGAGTTCAAATATGAAAAACACTTGTTTTTTATTATATGTGGAGAGATAAAAATGTGGTTAATCATATAAATATATGCGACAAAACCTCTCATCATTCAATGTATTCACGGTGCGTGTGCCGAGTCAATCGTTGTAGTGAGAGGAGCTTCAACAGTGACTGGGACTTGTGACCCAGGTGTAGGTTTAAGAGACCCTGAATGTATGAGTTTTTTTATTATTTTAACTACATACTCCCGACGTTTCGGTTACTTTGCAGCAACTTATCACGGGCAGACGAGATGAGAACGTCCGTCAGTTGGTATTGTAAACAAGAAAATTAAAAACGCTTGATATATTTGAAAATATTCGTTTTTTTAAATTTTAAATGAATACTCACGACAGTCTTAGATCTCATTATGTGGTCAAACAAATTAATTATAGTTTTATTATTATTCATTTATTTTCTTTAATTATTTTGCTCTACATCTGTTACATTTAAGTCTGTTACATTTGAAATAGCTGTTAATATTTAAAGTTATTCATAGGATTTAATAACAATATCGTACATATTGAAAATCATTTGAAAGCATAGTATCAGAATCAGGATTTAAACACACATGTATATCTTAAAGTATTTTTGTGTGAACAGTGATTATAAAAGAGAAAATTAAAATATCCTTAACGAAAATAATCGTTAACATTAAGTTACAATAAGTTACGCTGTATAAACTAACTACAGGTAGTTTCGATTAATAAAACTTCTCATATGATAGTACATATTAACGTATATTAACAAAAAACTTGATACTTTACAGTTTACAGTTTGGAAACTGGTTGTAAGGAAACTAATGAGATATACAGATTGACTGGTGAATTACTATCGATACTTGAGGACGTGATATTTGACGATCATATATGACAAAATAAAAATTAACATAACATAAATATTAATAAACTTCTAAGTAAAGTTAACCAAAAGTTATGTAATTAATTACGCATCGTGTGAACACCCTACAGATTGGTATACACATACACACACACGCGCGTGCGGCGGCGTGGTGTTGTATCAGCACGCCGCCGCACGCGTCCACACTTGGAACACTTGGAACGTGTCAACACTTTATTTATTTATACGGAAATTTTGTCAAAAATTAAGTGCCTATTTTTTTACATAATTCGAATGAGAATCATGTACCGAGTATTCTCCTTAAATATTGATAGTAACTCACCAGTCACCCTGTATATATATTATGAATATAATCATCATATTTAATGATTTTGATGTAAAAATCTTATCTGAACAACCATTGAGATTCATTTCTTGAATGTCACGTAATATTTTTTGCTATAATGAAAGCAAGTTACGACACAGCCAGCGAACTACGTAATTCACTTAGACTTTTACAAAAAAATATTAATGTACTCTATTATGGGTTTATAGAAAATTTGTTTATAGTATTATATAGGTAGTTATTGCTATTATAATCCGAACATAGGATGAAATGTCATAAAAAAAGTTATACAACTATGTATGTATATACATAAATCTACAAACCTATATTTGAGAATTTTATTTCATTTATTCTATTTAAAATTATATGTTCAAATATCTACTCCAGGTTTGTCGAAAGACACGTAAATTCAAAGGTTATTATAATTCATTAATGAAACAATTGTATATAAATAATATTTTTATATTTAGTGTGTATTTACTTAACAATTAATAAACATGGAAACACTTATTCTTCCTATTATATATACATAATACGTGTACCTGCTATTTCCTTTATCCGCTGCACTTTCCTACGAATGTAGTCATTATTAACACACACACACACACACACACATAAACTATTTTATTACAACACCACGTCTATGTGTGAGTGTGACGCAAGCGCATCCATAATACATCGCCGCTCGTTACTCAATATATGTAATAACTACCACTAGAACATACCACTTGGGACCATTTAAATTCTATCATCGTATATATTATTACATTAATAACTTAATTATTTTATCTAAGTTAACTATTAAAGTAAGTAAATCTTAACGAAAAAAATATATAAAATGACATTAAAAAATACAGATATTTTTAATGTCTATACTCTATAGCAACGTCTATCAAAGTCGAGAAGTTAATAGAAAAAATATTAGAAATGTTTAAAATAGTGACAAGTTCACAGTTTTAGTGGCCCCGTTACACATTGTAAATATTTCATAAAGTGAAACTTACAATGTCCATTGACACAGATGCTTCCGTGTGTTGACATTACAACATATATTTAAATATATACGAGATAATCATGTAATATTATGTTTCAATATTATTATACATATATACATAAATGAACAAGAAGGAATCGTTCAGTTAAGGCGTCGACCGTGACGAGTGTTCCGCGATTATTTTTTCATATAAACATAGTTTTTTCATTTACATATTATTTACATTTGGTTTTCAACGACTCATATAACGAGAAATGCTGAAGCATTATTGTTTTCTTACCGTTATTACATTTGTATACTTCCATTGTAACATTATTTAAGTTAAAATTAATTTTCTCTTATTTATAACTTAAAATAACTTTTTGCTATAAGAAAGATATACTGGACATTCCAGACTAATTAAAATATATAGTTATAATTATGATAATATTATTATGGTACATATGACGTATGGAAATGCATTTATACGAAATTTTTCATATAAATCTACATTATCGTTTCCATTCGAGTCTATGTGGTTCAGTAATTTCCCGCTAGATGGAGTTACGAATACTCTGTAACACGCAAATAAATACTCAGCCGTTCGACCTTTATCGGACACAGAAGACTCACTCACTCACTAACTCACCCACTCACTCACTCTAGCAGGGTCAAGCTTCCCGCTTCTCTTTTAAATTTTTGAATGGCAAACCCGTTTGGAGTTCGCTATATTACACACACACACACACACATATATATATATATATATATATATATATATATATATATATATATATATATATATATATATATAACCAATATGGCATAACTTAATGATACTTTGTTTCCTCTGTTATTCTATTCAGTACATACACTAATTCTAATATTATATTTCTGTGTTCATAAATTCCATTTATTTTATTTCATAAACATACATCCGGTAGTCACAGTCGAATTTTCTACTTTTCTTTCTCGATTCATGTTTTACAAACGAGACGAAACCGTAATTATGAAGTAATAGTCCAAATTAGGTGCATATCTCGGAAAATTGACATACCCAATATAAAAACTTGTATTTTAGCATCCTAAAACAGTTCTCGAAATTCACATATATGTAATTGGATGTTTTAAAGTCAGGACTCAAAGGTTACAAAAATCTATTTTTTACATTTATTTGCAAATACCTCGTCATCTTTAAGTTTTATGCTATATTATTATCAATAGTGTAGGCTGTATAGAATTAAATTCTCTACAACTTTTTTATTTAACATTTTTTTCTATCATGAATTGTTTTCAAGATAGAAGACGTAACCGCTCTTGTGATAAATAGAATAGCAGTAATCAACATCTAGCACATAACTATACTTCTTCTTCTACCTGGCAATTTCCCAGCTATAGCCAGGGTCTGCCTTACATGTTGTGAATAGTTTTGGATATTTGTTTTTTTTACGACCTGCCGCCTGCCTGACATCAACAATCTTTTAGAATCACCATTAATCATTGATGTCTAAATACTCTTAGAAAGTACATATGACTCGGAAAAATCACATTGGTACTTGCTCGAGTCAGGATTGAACCCGCGAACTCATGCTTGAGAGGCGGAACTTTTAACCACTAGGCCACCACTGACTACTGTAGCACATAACTATACTGTATGTACAGAATGCGGTGTGCCTCTTCGTCGTCACACCAGACAGCCTCGAGAGAGGTCCGCCAGCCAACTCAGGATTATCAAGGGAAGAGAGTCTAAGAGAGGAGCCTGGCCGTGGCAGGTGAATAGAATTACATTCATATATATGAAAAAGTGTCTATTATTTTCTCTAAGCCACCAAGTTCGTCACCAGGTTTCACTGCAACTGTTACATCCCAACTACGGTCTGATCGGTCATTGGTGCGGCGGAGTGCTGGTTCATCCACAGTGGCTGCTCACCACAGCGCATTGCGTTCACAAGTATTTATAAACAATATATTCTGATAATATCATTCCTTCATGACTTCTTCGACCTTTCTTTGCATGAGAAACTAATATAGTTATCATACAGAAAATTATGAAGGTTTTCAACAGTTTTTGCTCGCTTATAGACTATGTTTCTATATTAGCTATTTGTTCAAGCTGTATCTTTCATAGCGAGCTGTTCAACTTGCCGCTACCAGCGTTGTGGACGGCGGTACTTGGTGAGTGGGACCGTAATGAACAGCGGGGCTCATTCCTACCCATCGAGAGGATCATACTTCATCATCGCTTCCACAACTACCAGCATGATATAGGTACACACATAAACATATAGATATAGTCCGCTTAATATGTTAAAATTATGAATATTTCTATATATAGACAGGAAACTACAGGCGGTCCTCGACTTACGTCGTTTCGATTTACGTCGTTTCAAGTTACGTCGAACAATGTTTTGACACTATTCCTCAAGCATACGTCATTTGTTTCGATTTCCGGCATATCGGAGAATTCACTTGTCGCAAGGTCAATGTCCGTGAGGGGCGCTAACCGTTTGCCTGACATTGCAGTTACTACTGATGATATTGATGATCTGTTAAGCTCACATTCGCAAGAACTGACTGATGAAGATCCTATTGAATTGGAGGCACAAGTACAAAAGGAAGCACTCGAGTCACAAGAAATAGCTTCTTCTATTAGTGACTCTGAAAAAGAACTTACACTAAAAAACTTTCCGTAGCCTTTGTAGATTTGAAGAATGCCATGAAAATTTTTGAAGATAATGATCCTAATTTTGAGAGAAGTTTTAACGTTAATAACAAAATTTGTGCAGCCTATCACTGTTACCAAGATCTGTATGATAGCAAGAAGAAAGAAGCCAAGCAATCTAGAATTGATAGTTTCTTTAAGGCAAAAGTTTAATTTATTATTTATCATTACATATGTATAAGTTTTATAATTATTATTAAAATTAATAACACACAAATACCAAAAATAACTAGCAATTTCATAAGTGCATAATATATAATTATTTTAAAAACTTACTTTTAATAATAAAGTAGGTCCTTTGTTATAAATGCAGTTTTTTTTATTATTTCGAGTCCGTGTGGAACCTAACCCTTGAGTTTTACATGTAAACATATGAAAAAATATGTCTCGACTTACGTCGTTTCGATTTACGTCGCGTATTTCAAGAACCTAACATGCCGTAAGTACGAGGACTGCCTGTACTAACGATTTGGTATGATTCCTTAAGTAGATTCAGTGATAACTACACCACTTAAAAACGAACAATTACAAATTAAATTCTATATTTGAAGATATTAGAAGAGCCTCTGTTTTTATTTTAACTCTGTAACTTCAATGAAACACAAATCTTTCATTAAGGTTAAGGGTGCTTAAATTTGCTTCTAGATTAAAGGGTTTTTAGAACTTTGCAGCAATTATGATCACGGCGGAATATACGTCCGGAGTATGTATGTAGTTCAAAATAATAAAAAATAAATGTCTTAGATATCATCAAATAATTGGTAAAATATATAAGAAACGAATAAATTTATGCGATAAAATAAATAAGTTTAGTTCTTATATACATTGTTACATACACGATTTGTGATGTTTAACAAATATTTTCCAGCTCTGATGAAGATGACGAAATCAGCGGACGTTAGCACTAGGAGTCGCATCCGAGCCATCTGTTTGCCTCCATATGAACCAGTGGACGAAAACACAGAAAGGAGCACTACTTACACCACCCAAGAGGCGAAGAAGAAGATTAGACCACCACGACCAAAACCTGACACCGCCAACAAATACTTGGAGAAAATAAACAACCTCACAAGAACTATACATACTAAAGACAAGAAGAAGAACACCAAATACAACGTGAGGATGTCCAACGAAAATGGACTCCGAGATAGAAAAATAGACGAGCAACAAGCTATCTACGATGGAGCGTCACTGGACAGAGTAGTGAACCTCATACAGAAAGGAAAAGATATCTCCAGGAGCGATAAAATGATATCTAGTTACCACGAAATAGATCCCTTCATAGATAACTCTATAGATACAAGAGAAGAGTGTTATACTACAGGCTGGGGCCGGCAGCAGACCAACGGCAGTTTGACAGATGTGCTGCTCGAAGCAGAAGTGCCGATACTGCCGCTCAGTACTTGCAGGGACAAATACTCACTCAGTCTGCCGCTCAACGACGGACATTTATGCGCCGGCAGCACAGACGGCAGCAGTGGAGCGTGCGTGGTGAGAACTATAGTAATGTTATGGTCCATATAGTTCATAATAAATATAATAATTAGTACTTATTACACGATAACTCAATTTCGAATGTTTTTGGGCGTCATATTCTGAAGTTAGCAGGTTCGAATCCTGCTGAATATTGTTTTAAATATATATCTACTTGATTTTTAATCAAAATCGCAATAGAATATTGCTTAAATGTAAATAATATTTATATAGAATTATATTAGTTTATAAATCAATTAATAAATGACCTTCAGAGTCCAGTTATAAATCCTATTTAATATTACTAGTTCATTTTTGTTATTATCATTATTCTATATAAATATATATCATGTGATAATAGATTTTACAAACAATTTTAGAATAATATCGCCTCATCTAATATTTAACCCAACATCTATTTCCAGTTTTTTGTTTTTTTGCACACATCATGGTCCTATTTGCACTAAATATTCATAATGAGATGTAAAATTTTCGCGAGTACTCATTTAAATGAAACTAATATTTTCGGATATACCTACTACCTACGCGTATTTAATTTTTAACTATAAACTACATACTCCCGACTTATCAGCTACTTTACAGCAACCGTGATCACGGGCAGACGAGATGTCTCCAATTTTATAGTCAAAAATAAAAAATCCGAAAATATTAGTTTCATTTAAACTCTTATGATGCAAAATCCAGTATACCAATATTTGAGGGTCATTGACCTGACCTATTTTTCAGGGTGACAGCGGTGGTCCTCTGCAATGTATAGTCGGTGGTAGGTGGGTGCTCCGCGGGCTGACTTCTTTCGGGTCGGGCTGCGCCCTCACCGGCGTCCCTGACGTATACACTAACGTTAGACATTACGTTGCCTGGATCTATGCTCACGTTTACGCTGGATAGACATTCATACAACTAGAAATATGAGAGATTGTGGTTTAGAATGTTGGATGTCTTATTTATTTATTTATAAACTCTTTATTACCAATATAGACAAAAATAATAGTAGTAAAACAAAGAAAAGAAAAATGTTCAATAGATTTCATTTATCAGCTGGATGTATCATTAATGATGTAAAGATATTAGTTGATAAGAATAATTGGACATCTGGATGTAATAGAATAAATTTAATAACCAGTATTGGATTCTTATATGCAAATATGTAAAAATATAGCCTTTAATATGAAAACAGAAAATATTTCAATTAAATATCTATTTTTATAAAGTATATATTGTTTCATGTGACATTTAGTTTTATACAGTGTTAGTTACCTTTATATATATTACATTGAATGTGTGTATGTCACTGACCTCCTAAACGACTGAACCGATTTGAATGATATTTTTGGAAGTTTTTGTGTGGCCCAAGATGGCTCACATATATGTTGACTCAGAGGGCGCTGCAATCCTAACTAAGTTACTTAAAATGAAGAGCCTTCAATGTAGCATACTATATATATTATTTTATCATACTGTATACATTTCTCTCTGAACGCAATCCTGATGTTTAGTTGACGAAATCACGGGCAAATCTGGTATATGTCTAAATTTAAAATAATTTTATCACCATAGTTGTATTAAGTTATTTAATTATTTATTGTACAAATAAAATGTGTAACGATTTTTGTACATAGTTGTTATAGTTTTGTAAATAATTTATTTGATTGCCAAATGTAAATATAATTTATTAGATGAATAAATAATAAAAGTAAATCGTATCTATTATTTGAATCCACGCTATATGTTAAGATAAATTAAATTATTTTTATGTTATATTATAATATTGTGAAAGTTACATAATAAATTAATTGGTTTTATTGTAATTTTATATACTACATTGAAACTAATGCAGTTAATAGTTATCTTATATAATATAAATATATTTTATAAGAGATATTTAATTTTAAAGTACTTACTGAACATTTATTAATATAAAATTTATAAAAGATCCAATAAAATAATTGGATAATTTTTTTCTATAAAACACTCTACGACTTTTATACACATACATTAATCCTTTCTATTAATTCTCCGAGCAGTTTGCTTTTTTGATGTTCTTTGAGACCTCGTTTTAAGTGTTCTAGGTGGTAAATTACAGGTGTGTAATTACATATGGAAAGTAAATGTATTTATGTATTGGGTACTTAAGATCAATAATGTACATATTATGACTTAAGAAATCAATAATGTACACATGACTTAAGAAATGTGTTACCCTGTTATAGACTAGTGCTGACTAGTGTTGCCAGGTAGGCTCGGGACATTAAAAAAAATATATCAAATATTTTTACCAAAATATGTAATTTTATTTTTATGACGCAATTTTATTTAAATAGTAAGCTTTTCAAAAAGGTCTAAGCTTGATACAGTAGTCGAGATCTATTGGATTTTGAAAGATTAATGAAGGAAAGTTAGGATTTAGTAACATCTCATAATGAAATAAATTTTATATTTTTCTCATACGGGTTAGTATTTGGTATATAAAAAATGACAAGACTTTCTTACCTCTATCTAAGTTTTTCATATCTCAATTTAAAATTCAAATATTTTCATCATTCAACCTGATTATAAAAAAAAAACTTAGAATAAAAATAAGTACTTCGTTTTACTTATAGAAGATGTGGGTTGATAATTTGAGATTCACACCCATTGAAATAAAATTAAATCTCATTTACGTCTCGTCTGTCTGTGATTACGATTGCTGCAAAGCAACCGAAACTTGGGGAGTTTGTAGTTAAAAATAAGAAATAACCTATTTGTATTCAATGTATTCACCCTGGGGTGTCGGGTCCATCGCATTATAAAGAAGTAGTAAATCCGTAAAATATCATTGATAGTGTTATTTCAATGAATACTTGAGTCTTAAATTTCAATTATCACTCATTATTTTTGTTCTGTGATTCATAAACTGTAAATCCAATGTCGTTATTTATACAGCTGTTTCAGGCGCAAGTTAATAATTCTTGAAATATTTTGTACGCTTACTTTATAAGTATTCAATGTGAAAAAATATAAATCAACTTATAATATCCTTGATCTCATTTCGTTGAAATTACAATCCAATCTTTATGTGGTTAAGATTACTTAAAATATAAAAATAACTTTGATGAATTGAAAAATAAAGAATACAGATAATGATAAAACGTTATTTATTAAAAACATACCTTCAGTCTATATTAACCATATTAAAATTAAATTAATTAAAATTAATATCACATTCTTATAGAAGTATGCTAACAAATATAAAATGGTCTCCACTACAGAGATATAACTAACTTTGCTCTGGCAAAGGCTTACGTTCGAACTAATACTGTTCTTAGCATTAATTTACATAAAATACACCCAAATTACATAAATAATAATAATTTTGCACAACGGAAATCTTAGAATAAATAAAATGCATTTATCTATACAAAATTAGTTGAGCTTCCTAGGTCTATTTGAGCAGATTCAGGTATAAGGCAAGTTAGCGTTTGAGAGATTGAGCTCCATACACAACTAACGAAATAACTACTATATACAAAACATAATTACTGGATAATTCACCGACCAAATTAAATGACCTTCACTTATAGCTTATATATAATAATAAGTCACACATTTCACATGTATGGGTCTTTAAGGCATTTTATCTGGACAAGGGCAAGTAAAAAGGCATTTCTCTTACTATAAAATATAGCGAAAATTTGTATAAAAATATAAACTAACGTGCTAATCACACATACTATAAAATTCTTATAACTATGTTGAATTTTAACATTAACCCAATATTGAGCTAAATACGTGCATTCCTGATTATAATTTGTATTTGCATGTTAATACATAAATAATACAATTGTATGTAGAAAAATGTTGAAGTTATCGTTATTGGATAACTCAGGAAATTAGAAAACGTTACTCTAATGATGGAATAAAGTGTACAGGGAAATATAATTTACTTTCTACAGTTGTCGATGGACATTGACATGGAATGTGCCGAATTTCCATCAATGACTCCATGAAAGAACCGTTGGGGATTAATAAGTACTCCAGGTCTACACTGGGGAGACCCACATAATTTTTGAATGCCCCTTGGGCTGGAAGAATCTGATAAATCGTATTCTCAACAATAAAAAAAATTATAACTTGAAATACAAGACAATTCCCTTCAGCCATGATTTTGATTAAAAGCCAAGGATCATTGGTTTTGATTCTCGGGATCTTTATGAGGATATACAAAGTATTACCACTTGCATATATAGATTACATTATCTTTGATCTCACTACTCCAAGAATAGCATTTGAATGTTTGATATTAGTTTCAGGTTAATAGCTCCAAGCATTCTTCGTCATTCAAAAAGAGTCGCGGCTGACAGACGACCAACAAAGCGACTCTATAGGAGTCCCTTTTACCCGTTTGTAATACGGAACTTAAAAAACTTATATTTTAAATATAATCACCGTAACTGGTATATGTACATAGTATACAACCGTATATCAAATTCATTTAGACGTAATAATTACAAGTACCACCGTATATTAAATACGGTATCCAACAATCATTCGTTCAGCAATAAGTCTGGTACGTCGTGATCTTCCTCCGTGATTGCTAATAAGGAAACCGCTTCTTTAGCCAGTTCTTGTTCGTCAACGAATCCAGTGTTCTCTATGTTCAAGATCACGCTGCTTTTTCGCCTCTCACTGCTCTTTCTCCTGACCTTTTCCTTTGGTTTCTGGACAAGTTTGTACTTCGGTTTCCAAATCCTGTGGAAGCCTTGAATGCCCAAAAACATCCCCAGGATGAGCAGCACCACTTCCAGAGCGATCACCAATGGAGGTGCTATCACCAGGCGCAGACGTAATAGAGTTACGATATCCGATGGTGGAGATTTACAATACTGAAATAAAAAAAGACTTTTTTAAGACAGTTGTTTATTATAACAATGAAATATTTCTATATTGTTGCTGTAAAGTAGCCGAAATATCGGGAGTATATAGTTTTTTATCAAAAATAAAGTCGCGTAGTACATCCGAAAAATATTAGTTTCATTTAAATGAATAAGAATCGAGAAAATCTTAGATCTCATTAAATGAAATATCTGTTTTATATTACATTAGTGACGGATTTGACGCAATGGTATCAATGTTTGATCTAGGGTCAATCTTACGAGTATATGGCTTCGACAAGTCAAAATGATTACGAATTTAACTCACCATAGACATCCAAATCAGCGGCATGACCTTGTCCTTCAAGGGTCGTGTGATGGGGTTCCCTGAAGACATTCGGACCGCGATGTTCACCTGAATGTTGGACTCCACAGCTACTGGAACACCTAACACCTGGAACAAGTGAATGGTGATGATATTATTGATACGGAACCAATATTATTATTACGACTCTGTTTTCGTCTTGGTTTTTATTTTATTGAAAAAATAACACGTCCGGATAAACCATTAAACTGGATTATTATCCTCGTGTAATTTTACTCATGCATAATTTAAGATTTAATTACATTTAAATTTTATTAATCAATTAAAGAAGTATTTTACATAGATTATCACATACTAAGGGGACACTTTATAGCTATAATAATGATTATTTTATTAACTTTTCCAATAAACATGGTAAAAAACATATCCGTGACTAGTTATTTATAATCAATTTAAACGATCTTTAAGGAAACAGATCCTAGGATCTAGGCATTAGAATGAGGTAATGAAATCTGTTATTGAGATGAGAATTACTGCTAACGTATCGTAAACGCAGTTAGAGGAAACCTGCATTCATATAGATTATTACATTAAAACAGCTAGCAGAAATAATGACGATTATCTGCGTCACACGTGCTTAGCAGAGAATTTTATTAATTTATATACTACCTATGTATGGAATACGGAGAATTTAAACCAGATTCTTCCTTAGCTATTTCTATGGATTACAAATTCATTCTTATCATATCATAGTTCTTTGGTCATTTGTAAACAAATAGTCCTAATCAAGAATATAAATAATTTTATATTGGTACCTATCAACTGCTTGCTTAAACTCATTTTTGTAGTGTAAGCTCAATCACTAATCAAGAGAAGAAACCTCTTAGCAATCAATGTATTCACCGTGCTTGTGCCGGGTCCATTGTTGCAGGGAGAGGACCTTTAACAGTGACTGGGACTTGCGACCCAGGTGTACTCGTAGGTTTAAGAGGTCCCTATCTAACGCGCGTTATACGCTCACCTCCACTGTCCAAGCTCCTCTCTCTATATAACCAAATATGTAAATGTAAATGTTAATAAATTTAGATTATTTACCGGTTCCAAGTCGAGGGTAGACCTGTGTTTTATTGGATCTGGTTTGAAACCGCGGAAGAAGGAAAGCTGTTCGGGATCCGTGTCCAGAAAATGTGGCTTAGATAACGCTATGGGAAACCCTGTGGAGAAATAAACATTTAAATAGAAACTACGTATATTTTTAATAATAATTCTTTTTAGTATGACGTAGTACTTTATGGCTTAATAATTGTTAATAGTATTGAAAAAAATGTTGGATCGAATCACCAGAAAGTACGAAGCTATTTCTAAAAACAAATTGCAGTGTTACAAAATAAAGCCTTTTATATACTTTATTTCGAAACTTTGTACATAGTCGTAATTGTTATTTATTAAAACATCACTTATTGTTAATAAACATATCTTAATTATAATAATAGAATAGCCATTAATAATTAATTCAATAATAAAATATACTTATATTTATTGTGTTTTCAGCATTTGTTATAGTTTTAGTGACTTTATATGAACATAATATAGTGACGTCAAAGTTGTGATATATTATCATACGTATTTAATAACGCGTATAATATTTCATTTGTTTTATTATGATTTCTATTTTGCTTATAAACTATTGAGTTGTAAATTGTCCGTTAATTCAATAAAATATAACAAATAAATAAACATTTATTATATAATAAGGAAAATGTAGGAAAACCAATTACTTTATTTACACATTGTGTCCGAAATAACAACTACAAATTTAGGTTTAATGTTGAAATTTGTTTGTAGCAAAAGAATATAATATAGTCATAATTAAAATAGTTAGTTTAGGCTTTTTATTTAGGAGTAGATTTATGTGGATATGAACATAAAAATAACGAACATTTCCCTATATTTCTTAATTATTTGTGTGAAAACTTTAGGGAGATTGGTTTAAAAACATTCTTAATATGTTCTTTATGTAATTATTGATGAAGATATAGTAAACGTGCTCTGTTTGATGTTAAAAATGATGAAAGAAATATCAAATTTACCATAATAACAGCTGCTTATATCGACAAAGCCATCCGGCATACAGTTCTCAGTGCATGGACAGGCGTACTTTGAAGATTGGTTGAAGGAGGATTCACTCATTAAATATCTGTGAAGAAATAATAATATTACATACAGTAATGTTCTTGAAATATATGATGACTGAAAAATAAGCCAAAATATCTTCTTCTTCCAAGACCGTTTTCCCAATTATTTAGGGATCAATCTCCCTTTTCCGGCGTTTCCATAAAAGGTATGTGGTGAGATTTTTGTTAAGAACTTTTTTTTCTGGTACTTTTGAACCATCATCAACCAAGAGAACCAATTAAGTCAAAATGTAAGATTAATTTTTAAATGAATTAATTCAAAAATATACAAATATTATGACCAAATACTTATATATAACTAGTAATAAATCTTCAAATAAAATGCGTACCTGTGGAAGTTGAATCCATGATCACTCATTATTTCTTCAGTAAACCTGTATGGGTAGACTCGACAGGCTTGCTTCCTGAACAGAGGTATCTCATAGTCCTTTGAAAGCCCTGGAGGTAGCAATAGACCTTCGTATGTGTCCTTCAAACGATTGCACGGATAGCTGGTAATAAAACAAATAAGCAATGTAAAACAAAATGAAAATAATATCTTAGCAATACTATTCGTAATTATTTTTTTGTAAAACTACGTACTCCTGACGTTTCAGTTACTTTGCAGCAAATGATCACGGGCAGACAAGTTGACAGATATTAGTTTTATTTAAATGAATACCCGCGAAAGTCTTACATCTAATTATTACTTAATGTAAATTATTAAATTCTGGATTCGGTTTAAAACGCGAAGATGACGACAAGAAAAAAAGTTCAAAATGTTAACTTAACTTTAATCTAAACCTACAGTTATATTTAAATGTGTACTCCTTGTGAAAATATACGAGCATTTTAAAAGTATTTCCAAATTCACAAAGCAGTGTATAAATATCAATTACAATTTTTAATTCACTCGAATGCGATGTGTCAAGAAATCTTAAATATATCAAAGAAAACAAATTACAAAACAAGAAACTTGACCTAGCTATTAACAGTCTGTGTCTGAACGTTACAAAAACGAAATTTAACAAACAGACTGACATTATACGGTTAATATTACGATATGTTGATGTCATTACACACTTGTTAAATATTACAAAAGCTGAATTAACTTTAATATAAATAATTAATAATATTATTAATATATGATGAAATGTATTTAAGAAAGAATTTTGCAATAAGGTTGTTAAGTTTAAAATGAGACTGTAGATAGCACATATTATATCAATAGTAATAATAATAATTATTATTATTATACAGTAAAATTAACACCTTTTAGAATTATAGTATGTAGATACTAATGTACAATCTTGATGGCATTATCGTTAAATAGATTCCCGACAACCAACAAGGGAGAGTGAATTAAACGTTAGTTACTTGATGAGTTTAAATATAAAAAAACATATAATAAACATATAAAATAATATATACATAGTTTTGATTTTACGGTAACAAAACATAAAAAGAGATAGTGATTCTTTATCAAACGTTACAATAACTTTTCTGACTTTACAAATTTAATATGTGCAGTATAGAAACAGCCCTGACTGTTAATCAATTTTTGTAAAACTAAGAAGAGTTTTAAGTTAATATCTTTTGGCAGACTTTAGGTTTTGGGGTAAATGTTATATCAATTTAAATGCCTAATAATATTTTAAATGCGGATGTAACTCCGTTTGTGTGTCTGTCTGTTTGCTACCTTTTCACGTCTTAAACACCAAACCGATTTTGTTCAAATTTGGTATATAGATTAGAAGGACATAGGCTACCTTTTATCATGATCCTGAATAAAGATTTCGACCCCGTTCAAAAAACCACACGGGTGGAATCTTGAAGTGCAGTTCTGATTCAGTAGCCGTAATGACGGAGAACAATTCTGAAGTTCACGCGGACGGAGTCGCGGGCGAAAGCTAGTATAGAAGTCTTTACACATTCTTACCTTGAATTCCAATCAGTGAATCCCTGTTCAACAAGTCCGGGGCTCTTATTCCAGGAGTTAATCGCAAATTTTCTTGATTTATTCCTTAATTCTATTTCTACTTCTTCTTTTCTTTGAGCGTAGAACTGTTACAAGAAAGAAATATTGATAATCAGGAATGATATAATATATATTATATTAATTTTAATAAAATATTTAGTACACTGAAGATAGTAAGCTACTATTGTTTTTGAGACTTCAGAAATGTTGATTTCACTATAAAACATAGTATATATGTTAATACAATAGATTATTGTTTTCAAATAGATTTGTTTATGTAATAGTTATTGCTGTTATTATTATGAAGGTCTAAGAGTCTTTGGTGGTATTTCCAGTGACTACTCCATTACGCTAAGCTGACTTTTACTTGTCCTTTGATCAAAGAAGCCATTTATGTAAAACCAGCCTAACAACCTTCGAGAAATTCAAATTAAATTAATAAAATAATCAAAACGATCGAAAATTTGGAGATAATGATAAATAAAGAAACGAAAAGTGCTTGATATCACATCATATGAAAGTAGTTACTTTTACTAGAAAACATTTGAAACGATCTTTGGATGGGATAATAAAGTACTGAATAATACATAAAGTGTAATGAAGATGACAAAATTACATCCGTGTTTAAAACAATTGGCGGAAGAATTACTAGTAGATATGTAGTATAAAACTTAAAAAAATGATTAAAATTAGCTGCTGTTTAAAAGATATACATAGCTATATGATTATTATAATAATCTATAAGATGATTATTATTTGGAGTAGATTTGAAACAATTTATATCATACAAAATATATTTATAACGTTAAGCAAATAATTTAGGATACTCACTCTGTCCATAATGCCAATTTTCCCGAAATCAATCCAACCAGGTAGAAACTTATTGGCGATGTTGACTAAGGGATCGTCGTAACCCCACAACAAGCCCTCAGCTGTCATGTTGATAAAGAGCTTGGACCCCAGAGCCGAAATGGAGTAATAGGCCCCCGCGTTCGCGAAATACCCCATCTTATCTGCTAGAAGAGTGCTGATAGCCTGTAAAACATCAACACTGTCATATTTCTATCATTACTTCTAAGGTTAAAAGATTATAAATATGTCTTAATTAAACACAACTTACTTAATTTATATACTTATTAGGAAATGCTTATTAGGAGTGTTATTATTTTAATAGCCATCATTATGGCTGCACATTACAACCAGAAGCATTCAGTAACTCCTGGCTTCAAGGTGGCAGAAACATTTAGATGTAACTGTACCTATTAATATTCTACACATGTTATTTAATGATTGCCCTTCAACTTATATTTCGACACGCTGCGCTGGGTCAGTCACTTCTGACCGAAATATGGATCTATTTTATTTATATTTATTAGTGTTTGTTGTTATTTTTAAATCGTATATTTCAGAATTATCCGTATTTTTAAGATTTGTTAAAAATATCAGACTAATAGCCTAATAAAATATATTTCTTCCTCTATTCATTCTAGTGATAATAATCCATTAAAACATTTGAGTTAACTTTTGGTTCTTAGTGTAATAATTTTATAGTATAATTTTTATGTAGTAAAAAACAAAGTAACACTTAAATATCAGTATGAAACAAATATTTTAGCTGTTACGAAATATATGTTAATCTCTCTTAACATGAAATGCCATCGAACCTTCTCGAAGCCATCCATGACATTGCTCTAAATTTACGAAGGGCTTCGATCCAACAACCTTAAACTAGTGAATGATTTGATATTTATCATTTCCTAAATAAATAACGGATATTTCCATGAAAGTAACTACAGATATTTAGTATTATTACTAAATCTCAGCTGTAGAAAACGCAATTCATTTTCTACTATAGACATGAAATTTTCAACGAGGTATTTGGTGATGGGTCGCTAGTTGCCCTCAGACTTAAAATGCCTATAAAAGCTAAGCACGAAACGTACTAACTGAAAGTATTACGACTTGGACAAAGCTTCCGATATCTGTTATTATAAGGCTATTAATTTGAAAAGGTTTTTGTACTGAACTGTGTTCAATTTGGATCAATGCCTCAGTTAGTATCCTCTCGCTACATGCCATGCTTAACTCCTATATGTACGTATATATATATTTCATCATCTTTAGAAATAAAATCGATTTTGGTATTTAATGGGAGGAGTATTTATGTCAGTACAATTAACGCGTTTCTCGAATAATATATTAATGATAATTATAACTGAGAAAATGAAAGGAACAGGCTTTATCTCAATACTTTATCAAATGTGATAATGTATTTAAAACAAACAGTTTGAGATCAAGATAATCTCAGACATTATATGTGAAGGACATTCAGATATATCATGTACAATTAAACTATTTTTATTTTATTAAAATGATTTAATTAACACGCGTTACGTTATAAAAACATAGCTCAAGTTAACGAACGACAATTAACTGACATAAAACATGGTTAACATGCTTATAATACTTGAACTAATTATTTCGGTTTTAGATTGGAGTTTTAATTGTAATTACTGACTTAGATTAAGCTTTATATGTTGGTTTAATGAGCACGTGACAAAATTAAGGTACCTTGAAGGTTACTGGTTAAAAATATATGACAGAGCAACCAAATATACCTTCAAAATGTTAAGCCAGAAATACTTTTGTGGTTTTATAGTATAGTGGTAACTTCTACTTACAATAAGAGCAATATTTGGTATCTTGACTTCGATGTCCTTGTAGTGAGCGAATGATTTCTCAGGACGGAACTCCAGAACTGTTTTTGGATTCATGGTCATAACACCTCGATCATGATCTATCGACATGTTCTCATTCGTTCTTATTTCTCTGCAAATAATAATTCATATTAGAAATACAAGAATACCCGTTAGAATTGATCAAAAAATTAAGTTTTCTTTACAAAACGATATAATTCTTTATTAATGTACTCACTGAAAGACGAATGGTCCGATTTCTTCTAATTGTAGCTGTTTATCTGATCCGCTTAGAAAGTCGTCCACATTCGTGTAGTTGAAGATATAAACGTCGGAAAATACCTCGTACGTTGGATGTTCAAGCATACGGTACAAGTACCGACCTTCCCGCATATCTAGGGTCTGGAACAAAATGGTGGCTTAGAAAAATGAAGAAAATATAAAAGGGATATATTTCATTTAGGGCGTATTTCTGTCTCATACAAGAGTCATGTGACAATTTCAATACTGTTGAATTATGAAAATCAAATAATAAAAGCCTACAAAATTTCTATAATACATGAGTGATCTAAAATCATGGGTTAGAAAAAGACTTACAAGTTTGACATTCTTCATTGATAAAATGCAGAAGATTTATTGATTGTTAAATAAATTATCACATTGCAAATTTTGTCTGTTACTTTTAAAAATATGTAACGTACAGTGGTAGAATTTTTTGATAAAGAGAAAAATGAGACTGAGATAAAGACCTTTTTATAGGAAATAGAATATAATTATTATTAGAAGGCGTTTGACTTTACGAGTCAAACTTACCGAACAAACAAACTCATAACGAGACTTTTATTATTGTAAAAACTACATTTCCATTGTCATCTCGTCTGCTAGTGATCACGGTTGCTGAAAAGTAACCGAAACATCAGGAGAATGTAGTATTTACAATAATAAAATACCTACGCGTATTAATTCAAATAATATTATTTTCATTACAAAAGAACTTAGATGAAGCAAACTTACGTCTTACTTTATTCCTATGCATAAAAAATTATTGCTTCACCATATAAACATCGTCGTAATATTTTTAATAATAATAATTAAAATTATAATACAAAAAAGTAATAAATCATATATTTTTAAGTATACATCAAACTATACAACGGTTCAAAAATATTAATGAAGGTCATTGAGTTGACCTCACCTTGACAGATATTTTTAAACGCCTCATAATTTAATCCAGATTATTTAAAACCATATATTAAGTTAATATTTCATATAAGGATATCTAAGATTTTCTTATTACTAATATGTACTTTTTTTATTATTTCATAACTACATAATCACGAGCGTAAATTTTTCACGTAGTGTCCAAAAAACTTAGTTTCATTTAATTATTTCATATCTATACTATTTGACCATCGTATAATAATAATAATAATAATTTTTTTTTCATTAAAACAGTTTAACATAACATTGATTCTAACAATATTATTTTAATGTTTAAAGAATTATTAAATGCATTATATGTGAACGAACTCTGGAGAGCGGGTCAAGGTTTATTAAAAAAATTACACATAGCACCGTTATTTAAAGCCTTTTATTATCGGCTACAAGAAAAACAATAAAAATATTTACACAATACGTATCGGGTATTTACTGTATTTTTTAATTTGTAAATTCTACATTCTGTTTGTCTGTCTGTTAAATAAATCTTTTAGGGTTAAAGAATTCATGTTACAAATTTGTAGTTCTCTCATCCTATGTACATCGGTGCTAATGTCTAATATAAAATATATTAAAATCGATATTCAACCGAAATATAGACAAAGTCGTCGGTAATACATAGTATATATAAATAAATTTTAATATTATGATATGTTGAGTACAGGGAAATGTAGGGATTAAACTTCTACCGTATTTGGAACAGAGGTCTTCTAGTAGTCAATACAACGTTCATACTTCATATGTATAGATTTCTTATTTATGTATTTATATTAATTTTCTGTGTATACATAATAAATTATGTTGCATATACTATGACTATATAATATATTATATATATCGTGACTTTACCATCATAATTAAAAAGATAAATGCGTCACTGCAAAAACATGCGAAGCTGCGGGATCGAGTTATTCATCAATAATTAATTATTGCTAAACCAATCGAAACTAATTATATTTCAATGTTAAACATAAAGTATAATAATGCTTAATATTTGGCAATTAAGTATATAATATTTTTTTGCAATTTTCGACGGTGTACGCCCGCGCCGTGTTGCGTACAGTGCAATTCACTCTTACATAGTTTACGTAACACAATAGTTTGTTAATAAAATGACATTGACATCAAAGGTCATTAAAAAATATATTTAATATGAAAACTGATATATTAAGGTAGAGGGTGACAAATAACCGGAGTATGGGAGTATAACGTGTTATATTAAACCGGTTATGATAACAACACACGGATTTCGTAAACTATATTGTCGGTTAGAAAATAAAAGTGACGGAGACAAGAAAATTCCGTAACTAATCATTTATATGATTTAAATATTAAAGCTTTTATTTATTTAAATTTAAATTAAATCCACTGAATAATATTCCATAATAATCATAATTTTTTAAACCAAAACAATTATTTCGACTACGAAACATAAACATTATTACCGGATATTAAGCATAAAATCATTGGTGTTAAATTCGTTAGAAACACCCCAAAAAGATTAAGACCATAAACCGCAGTTGTTTAAACCAATTATTTACATTACTCGAACGTTTTTAGTAAACTTTTATTAACGATTATTCTATTATAAGAATAGCTGAATAGGAAATGAGCCAAGAATATAAGAGCACATTAAAATTCTGTATAGATAGCTAGATAACTACCTCTTGCCTAGGGTCGCACAGGGGCCATAGTTATTATGGTGCAATTAAATTGATTGGATGTGGATTGCATTTTAAACTTAATTTATATTAATAATAAAATATACATTTATTCATACTACTATCAGTCTGCTCAGTACAAAATATTAATTGCATTATTTTTTACATATTTTTAGCAATTCACTTACAAATACAAATTCATTTATAAAGCGTAAGTTATGAATAATACATATATATGTGAATACATATCATCAAAACCAAGGATATACATTTGAGTAAAAGCCTTTTATATTTCTCAAAGAAAGAAAATTAATCTCCATAATTCATGGATTCCTCGAAAGTCGCTACAAATCTGTATAAAAAACCAATGACGTCCAAAAACTTTCACTCTGACGTCCAAATATTCAACATTAAAATGTACCAGGATCTGGATATTAATAAATATTATAATATATCATCATCATAGGCGCACGTCATTAGCGTTAATACGTCACATCGATTAACAAAATGACGTAACGTGTCAATGTCATTATATTGAATCTGTCATAAAAGCATGCACATTTTGAAGTTGTATTTTTTAGCTTTTAAATGTTTAAAATGTGAACTTACCCAATCAGTGACGATGTTGATAGGGTTTATAGCGGCTAATACTATTGATAGTGTTATGAACAGTGACCCGTATATTCCTCTGATAACAGATTCTGAAATAGAAGTTCTTGCTCAGTAATAGGTTCTGTTCTACATTATAAACAAAAAAGACTTTAAAAAATATTATTGATGAAAAAGCTAATATTATTTTTTAAGTAACAAACAGAAACGTCAAATATTTTTATATTAATATGACATAAAATTATGTCACTAATATTAAATAATTCGTGTAGTTTGACACAAACTGTGTTTGGTAAATTAAGATAATAATAATAGTCCGGGTTTAATTTCATTCAGCTTGTTGTATATTTGATAAAATATTAATAATTTTGGATTACTTACGTCGTTTCTCAACAGTAAAATTTTGTATTTTCATTATAGATATTCTGCCCTTACTGGGCACATGCTGGATAGCCTTTTTCGCACCTAACACCATTTTGAAGCTGCAAAAAAAACCTCTTTAAACCAATTACATAATGAAGCCAATAAAAACTGATTGGCTACAAAAAATATAAGAATGATTGCATAAAATGTGTATCTAATTTTTTGTACATTTTTTTGGCAAACACGTGTACCCAGCACGTGGTTGAACCGGCTTGTAAATAATATTAGCTTAAAAAATAGATAAAAATGTCGTTATCAAATTAATAATATGTATAAATTTAATATTTATATATTAAGTTAAAGGTCTGCTTATATAAGCGTTGAACTTTATATATGTTTTTGTTTTATTGTAAATTATAATAATTTTTTCTAAGTATATCTGGCATTTACACTGGATTTTTGTTTTGAAATGTCTGCTAGTATATAATTGTACCGCGAACATATTGAGTTTTTGTTAGAAGAGAGCTCAGACAGTTATTAAGTTAGGTCGTAGAATACATCGAGATTCACCAACGATTATAGAAATTAATTTATATTCAATTGCTTCATGAAAAAGTATAATTATAGCAATGAGAATGAGAAAAATTACTTCGCTATAATTGTTTGATATCTACAATTACTGTGTTGGATAACGGTTAACAGACAATTATATGAAACAAAAAGTTTAAAGAAATTAATTAACACAGGGCATACTTTTAACTAATTATGATAACCAACTTCACAATAAATTAACTATTGTAGCTTTATATTAATCTTATTTTATTTTAAAATATTTTCTTTATAATAATAATAATTAATGTATTTATGTACATTTTCTTCCTGATTTATTCAGTGTTTTTTTGTTAGACAAGTTAATTGTTATCATGGCTACAATTACAACGTTTGAGTTATTATTTAATCGTGAGCAAATAGTTAAAAAAAACTGGTCGATATTACACGATCTCGAGGCAATTACATTCATATATTTCATTGCTAATGGAACCGGCTTGTGGAGTTTAAAAATATGAGTAACTTTAAAACTAATAATATATATCAACTAGCTGGCAAAAGTTTTACTATTTAAAAAAATAGAAGTCGTTAATACAAAAGTAAAAATTTTGGGTTGTATGTATTTTTAATGCCACATTAAAAAAGCAAATAATTTCGTTCCAAAATTTTTTAAAAATTGTGGGAGTAAAGAACCCTTATCACTTGGGGATATGAAAAATAGATAGATCCTCAGACCTACTGAATATGTATATAAAATTTGGTAAAAATCGGTAAAGCCGTTTCGGAGGAGTACGGTAACTAACATTGTGACATGGAAATTTTATAAATTTGATATATATATATAAATAATATTGTTAATTTTATTTTAAATGAAAACTTATAATAAACCAGAAACTTTGTTTTTGTAATATTTCTAGCCTAAATATATTTATTAGGACATAATGATCGAATGTTTTATAATTATTAAACATTTATATATGCAAGAATTTTAAATTATATAATTTGTATATTAGGATACAAGTTTTGTACGAAATATATTCCAAAATTTTTATTATTACGTCGTATTTTGTTAGGGTATACATTATAAAAACAAGAGGTACGTATGTATTTTTCAGATTATTAAATTTTCAAAGTACATTATGATTTATATTAGTTTTTGTTGGTTATATAATTATTATGAATATTATTAAATATTATCCTTAATGTATGTATTTTTTGTAACAGATTTTAGTTTCAAGCTAGCGGGGTATCAATTATCAAGTAGTGCGTCATGACAAGTTTTCGAACCGGTATCTTAAATCGTTCACGTGTTCATATTTTTTCGTTTTCTGTATCATGGGAACAAGTATAGATATATGATTTATAATATAATTATTAATAAATTTAATATCGTTATGTACTCTAATACATATACATATTTATACATTTCAGAGTAATTTTATTGTCAAACATTGTATTAAAAATACGTAATAAACAACATACTTTAAAAAAAATCGTTATGGTAATTAATTTTTTGTTTGAAATTCTTAAACTTTTATTGATATAAAAAAGTTTATTATGCAAATTAATATACAATATGAACTTCGTAAATTATGTCTATAAATTTTTTTTGCTGTACTTGTGTCAAATTTATGCTTTATTATTTCATAGGGTTATTAATTTTTTTAAAGGTGTCATATTTTTTTTATCCCCATTACTTAGACGTGTTTTTGGTATTCCGTAAAAGATCGCGGCTGTAAAAAAAACTCAAATAAGTATTGCACTTAGTGTCGACAAAAAAATATTTTATTAAATTTTAATCACAAACTTTTTCTGTTGATAAAAATAACAAAAAACACCAAGGTCGTTGTCAAATGTAATCTTGTTTTTTTCTCCCAATATAGATATATATTTTAACATACAACTGTTAAGGAATCAATCCGTACATGTGAATTGTTGTAATATTTCGTCGAAGCCTTCATTATAGATCGTGGTCACGTGTCCGCAGCCAGTCACGTGTACAAACGGCGGTCGCGAAAATGTGCCAAAAAAAAATAATAAGATACATGAGGTCAAAAATCTGCATCATTTTAATTGGTTAGCTATAAGGAGATTTTATTATCAATATTTATTTTGATTAGTCTATTATTCTGCTTATATTATTTTCGTGTTTTCTGTTTATATATAAAATGCGTTTTAACATAACTGAATTTGGACATCCATACATGTACATCTATCCATCGCGCGAACGCAAAACCCACAAAATATATGTATATATGCCACTTCTATTTTATGACGAATTTTGTAAGAGTATATGTGTGTATATTTGTTATTCAAAAGCTACTAAACTGACTTAAATCTGAGTATGAGTGACGGTATGTAGATTAGGTTTTGTCCCAGGATTCTTTTCTAATTGGGAGATCATACCGGGTAATATTTATTGTATTGTTACGACTATTTTATGTGCTAATGTTAAACTCCCAATGATCTCCAAAATAACAAACTCATTGTTTAAATATTAGTATTGTAATTTTATTGCATACAAAGGAATCTTAATTGCGATAGCTATACATTTGTCAATGTCTCAATCAACAATACTTCCCAATATAAAATAAGTTGAACATACATACATCAAATCTTTCGCTTTTTCCATTTAATATATGAAAATTATTTCTATTATCGACCATCGCATTTAAATGCAAATCATTTAATTCAATCATAATTATAAAAATATTTTAAGGTAATGTTAGAATTATTTAAACATTATACAAACTAAGTTTTATGTAAATATTCGGATTTAAAGAACAGGATAGTTCAAGACTTGCTCGTGTCTTGAATTACATAGTTATCAAGTAGACGAGTGATGTTAATTTCATTAATGATCATTTAGTCTTATATTTAATAATTTTAACTAATTTTGTTTGCGGTCTCGTAAATGATATATTTATTATATAATAATATGTCGCATGCCTTCTAATTTAAGACCATTAATGAGATAAGACTTTCGAGTATTCATTTAAATGTAACTAATGAATGAATTTACATTTACATTTCGTCTTCGTGATCATGGTTGCTGCAAAGTAACCGAAACGTAAGAGTATGTAATTTTTATAACAAAATATATAAAGTAATCCGAAAATTTTACATAGTTTTATTTAGACCCTCTTTCATTGACGCCATATCAATATAAAACATTAATTAAAATAAAGCATCTGTTTTTGTTTCAACCAAGTGTATAAAAATGTATAAATTATTGAGAATAACAGTTATAGTTAAATTTTAACTTTGGTCACTAGAAGAACGTTTTAAATTATAATTTCTATTAGACTATTATATATATGTATTATTTTTGTATATACATACATATTTCACATGTATAAAACACGTATTAATTTTTTAAAATTAAATTATGAAAGTCCAAGAAGAAATGAAATCTACGACATTAAAATCAGTTAAATAAGGCGAGGTCACACTTATGTATTGATGCTAAGTTCTGTACACAATATATAATATTAATATATATGAAAAATATATTTTATATCTAAATATTGAATGAATGAAGTATTTGTACATGTATCACCGGTTTTATTTACAATCTTTTATTCGAAGTTATTTATATTTCACTTGTTTCTTTATATAAAATAAATTGCCGACCTCAATGTGAAATACAGACAGAGACGGGGTATTATCTAGTATTGTACATACAATACTATTTTATGTATATTTGAATTACAAAGATTCGTCTAAAATTATGATAATTTTCTTTTAAATACAATTAATAATATGTTATGTATATTTTTTCATGAATATATTCAAATAATATTTTTTAATGACTTTTTATAAATATATTGTTTATATCAAAAATATCTGATAACTGATGCAAGTGTCTTAAAATAGTTATTTCTGATTGTCTCAGTGTTAAACGTTCTCTTGGTCCTTGAAATCGAGTATTGTTTTTGATCCTGTATTTTATTACACGAAAGAAGCCATCAAATTTAATGTGTTTTATGGGAATTCTTGTTGATTTAAAATTAAAAAAAAATATCATCGTTTAAATAGTTTTGTAATACCACAGCGGTTACTTGCTGTGCTAGTCGGATTACTTGTGAGACTAGTTATTTTAACATTTTTTGTATATAAATACGTTTCATGAACTTAAAAAACTCTATTTTAGTGAAGATTATTTTAATCTTCTTCTTCCTGGCTATTTTCCAGATTTACCTTAAATGTTGTGAATAGTTTTGTCTAATTGTTTTTTACGACCGGCTGCCTGCCTGACATCAACCCTCTTTGGTTATTATCTTAATTATCTTAATATTTCACTATTTATATGCAAGAAGTATATTTTTAGGTCATTTTATGTTAAAACTCTTGTATGTTATAACACTCTGTGGCTATGAAATGTGCTTTTGAAATGCTTTCATCACCGACGCTCAACGTCTCGATGGAAAGTTGACCTGACGAAACAAACCTTACTATTTACTAAACACGTTACTTAAATAACTGTGTATTAAAAAAAACTTCTATCCCATATAAAATTCACAATAATTAATACTACATATATATGCTTATTATTAATTTTTA